GCCTACGTTGGCAACCCTGCGCGCCCGAGCGCAGGGTCGGAGGCGCTGGAGCGAAGAGGTGAACGCAACGGGCTGGCAGGTCAGGGCGAACAATATTGAAGGTGGAAATAAGAACTCGGGGGAGTAGATGCTACAAGAAGTAGACGTGGCTTTTTTTTATAAGTTGTTTAAAGGAAGAAAACAGCTACAGATAATACAAAATATATCGAGTATAATATGATTGTTGAATTTTGAGTATAACATAATTGAGTATTTGTTTCCGGGTGCGTCAACTACGTATTTATCCCGTAAGTGTAGTGCGTTATATATCACTGAAGGTGGCGGACATCCTCTTCTGGTGGAACGTGATATCAGGCGTAAAGCTAACGGTTTGCGGGGTATTCGTCATCAATCCCTTCAGTGGGGCACCGCCACAGCCCGGGCAACCTGTAAGCTCCCGTCATGTGTGGTAGTGTAGTGCATTGTTACAGTCACAGTTTGCGGCTGTAACAATTAAGTTCGCCCAACTTTAATGCGAACTTCCTCCCAGTGTCAATTCTAAAAATAGCGAGTGAATGAACGCATAAAATAATATAAAGCGTTTGTCTTTAAAAGTTTTTTAATAGACCACAAATGTGGAAAGGATGGCGGAGGAACACAGATCTGTATTACCTTTGTCTTTCACTACATGAGAAATGATCTCGTGAGAATAGACTGTTGATAGAAGGTTTTGGTGTCACTTAACCGATAAAAAATCCTCGTAATTGTAGAGTTGATTTATTTGCTTTTAGTAATAGCATGTCGTTTGTAATGTTGTGCATTGTGCTGCAAACAATCCAAACTGTTATCAATTTAACACGTTCAGCAACTCGCGGGGCAACAATTCTTCATAATCCTCTCTTTTAAAATTCGCGTGCGACATACTCGTAATTCATCCATAATTCAGTCACGTCCCAGTCGCAAGGTTTCGCGCCCAGCACAGCTTCAATAAAACACAAACCAGCTGACAAGCACAAATAATGAACGCGCGACATGCGCTGGCAACAAAAGAAGGCGTACTGATGCAGGGCCGGATCCGGCCGATAATTTTTTTGGGGGGGACGCATCATAAGTTTTTGTAAATAATAAACATATTTGATATACTGGTAAATAACAAACATATTTTGTATACTGATAAGAATAAGCATATTTGATGTAGATGATACGATCCGAATGAAAAAGTGACCGACCATCACCGAGAATTAAAATCGGACCAAACAGATATATTACGAGTAACACCTTGCTTTTCGCTAATGATCAAGTAGTCACACAAGACAGCGAGGATAAATTGCAAATGGCACTACACAGGCTCAACGAACTAAGTCAACTCTATGACCTTGAAATATCTTTAACATAAACCAACACAATGGCCTTTTCAGGCATTTTTCCAATAAGAACAAAAATAGTCGTAAATGACAAAACAATAGAACAGGTGTCTCATTTCCATCATTGGGTTGTGACATATCTTATGAAGAAGATTAAGACATTACGAAAAAGATAAAGATATATCAAGAAATATGTAGCACAATTAGAAGAGCACGAAAAGAAACGCAATTAAAATTTTACAAGGTCATAGTAGTTCCCACTTTTCTATATGGAGCGGAATCCTGGACACTAGGGAACAAGGATCTTAAACAGCTAGAAGCCTCAGAAAATAAATTTCTTAGATAGCTTAAAGTCTGCACCAGAGAAGACAAAATCCGAAATGAAGCAATCAGGAACGTTTGGTATTGTGGTGAGTTTTCGTTGGCATTTACAATGGAATAATTATATGAGTCGTCATTGCCAACAGTATTATTTATTAAAATAGCAGCTTTCGATGGCGTAGCCATCATCAACAGTGTGAGTGAATCAGGAATGAACTACGGATGCAAGCAATTACCGAAATGGCGATCCACCATAAAGAAAAATGAAGAGAGCAAGCCCTTCGTATGCAAACAAAAATTATTCCAAAACAAGCAATGGGATATAATCCATATGGCAAACGAAGCGAGGGAAGACCGAGGAAGAGATATTGAGATCGGAACAGGCCTCAGGCGTAATCCTGGCAGAAGAAGAAGACAGAATCAAGACAGAAGAAGAAGAAGAAGAAGAAGAAGAAGAAGAAGAAGAAGAAGAAAAAGAAAAAGAAGATTGGATACTGTATATTATTTTTGAAGTGTATATGATACTATATAATTTTTTTTAATAATTACATAATTCTAACATAAATTAATATTAAAATCCATGTTTCCAAATAAAGGAAGGAAACTAACGAAAATTTTAGACCTTTTGTTTGGTGGAGGGGGGAAGACCAAGGCCCCCATGCACACACACCCCTAGATCCACCATTGTACTGGTGGGCCTCGATTCAGATCGCGGGGGCGTCCAATTGGTAACGATCACGCGACATCAGCGCCGTTGGGGACCGATCCCCAGAATTTTGGAAAATACGGGCTGGAACAATATTTCTTTTGAAACCTTCCATTAGCCATTCATTTCGAATCCACCTTCGTTGATTTCGATAACGGGAAGTTGTATTTTCAAGTTGGACGCTGCTAGCTTTGGACTAAAGCTAGCAGCACCCCTGATTTTCGGAAATCCAAAAGAGCCTAAAATCCGGAAATACGACATTTAATTATCCTCACACTAACCATTAGTTTTGCACATGGTTCGGTACTTTTCTTTCTTTTTCTTTTTGGTGCTGGTACCTTCGGGCGAATTGCGCTACCGCCACGACACGATGAAAGAGATCTCGGCGCGCTGCTCTCCACCAGCCAAGGGAATCTGTCGATAAAGTGTGCACCTCTTTGCTTTTTGTTCTCCTCTCCTGGAAACCGCAAGGTGGTGCAGGTTTTTGCAACTGGGGCAGGAGCCTTACGGTTCAGCGCGCGCCGGATTGTCTTTCGTTCAATACGTCATATTCACCACATGTGCAACAGCTGTTTTTCAGATAGAAAAAAAAGTGGCCAAAAGATGTACGAGCTGGTATATACTTCACACATCCCTTAATTTCATTGTAAAATATTAATTTAAAGGATTATGTTAAATGATTTTTCTTTAAAAAACTTAATTATTTTGAGTATATAGGAAGATTTAGCGTTCGGAATCAAAAGACCAACAATAAGGCGTAAACCTTTCCAATCGGAATTTTGGTTGTGGTAGTTTACTGGTCTACAGACGTTTCAATTTGAATTTAATACACTAGATGTTATTGTTCGTTTTCTGCAAGGGTAAATTGTGAGCGTATTTATATATATATATATATATAATATATATATATATATATATATATATATATATATATATTTTATTTTGCACGTACACTGAGGTTGTGCTACTTACTGGAAACTATTATATTATGAACTAAATACACGCGGGATAACTTTTCGAAAGAACCAGATGCATTAACACATCGGATGGACCTCGAAACGACGGACATCCCATTGGACAGCCCTGTCACAAACCACGGGAGCCGGAAGATACACATGACAGGAACTAGAAGCTCCAGCCGTAGATCTAAGGCCAGGAAAAATTACTGAAGACATGAAAACTAAATTATGAGTTGGAAGTGTGGGTGATTACCCTCGCTATAGCTTCGGAAATCCAATAAATTTCATGCACAAAGATAATCACTGTAATTATTTGAACTCCGGAGAGAGGCGTGAATATTACCAAATCGATATGTCGATAAGAAAGGATACCATCGTTTTGGATAACTTCCGATGAGAGGACAAAACGAATGAAATAGCTAGCGAGGATTCACAGCAAGTTTGTATCTACTACCACATCAGCACACGAGCACACATGGAGAAAAAAATCAACTACGTTTTATAAATCGTTGAAAAAAACGGTGTAACGAGATCCTCCTCGATTTTTGACAGACAAATGGCCTTTATTTATATTATAAATGTTATTGGTATAATACCCGCTTATGCATCAAAACTAAAACGTAGTTCACTAAAGCCTTTTTCAGAACTATCGAAATGATGAAGTCGAAATATCGAATTGTTTTCAAAATACCGAAATGTCAAAGAAATATTGACCAATTATAAATATTTTTGAAAAGAACGAAGTATACACATAATGACGACTCAATGCGATGTAATATTCAAACGATGTAAATGATATTGGTACAATACCCGATTATGCGTCAAAACTAAAAAGTAGTTCACTAAAGCCACAGAAATATCGAAATGATGAATTGAATCTCTGTTAACTTTGCGAATCCATAAATTGTAATTGGTTTTATGCAATTGAAGATTCATTACAGAGGTTAGGCGGAAGAGCAAGCCTTGTGCACTGTGCCTACTTACTAATAAGGGCAGCTTTTAAATATTTATTTATCATGCCATTTAATCTACAGACGTCTCAGACTAGGAAGAATTGTGGTAGACAACTTCGACAACTTTCTACGCCGATGTCGACAACGCAACCGAGATAATAGCAACTACCACTTCAACAAGTTCGCTGAACTTTGTGCTTTTCAGTTTACTATTACAAAACACCGGTAATGTGTACCTGCCACGTCGTACCGACACCTATCACTTCTGAGTCGCCCTTCGATTTCCAACTTCCGCCTATATCCCGGGACCGTAACCACTATCCGCATTCGGCCAGCTCTAAAATAAGGAATAAAAGGAAACACGGAGGCAGGAAAAAAACAAACGAAAAAAAACAACAAAAACGGTGAGCGGTAAACGATCGCAGCAGCACTTTGCGAAATTTCAACTGCGCTCGCCGGCGCCTCCTTTCACCTGTCTCGCCCACGTGTCGCCGGGCGGCTATCGAACGCTCGTTACAGCGCGTGCGCGGGCCCCGCCGTCGCCTCTAGCCGGCGTCGCGAGAGTACGTGGTCGGCCCGAGGAATGACAGTTGAGCGCGGCGCCGCGCCTCGCGCAAAGGCGAAGTGCGCGCCGATCCGACGCCTTATAGGGCGCGCCGCACGCACGCGATCGGGAAAACGGCGGCGCTATGGAAGAGGCGGGGCCCGCCCAGGCGGCTCACGACGGCGCCGGCGCCTGTGGCTCAGTGGGGGCGGAGGTGACTGGTTTGGGGTTCTCAGCCGGTTTAGAGGCGACTGGAATAATATTCGAATTACGAGAATTTTCAAGTACGTAAAACGTTTCCTCCCGCTAATATTTGAATTAAATGTTTCAGATGTGTTTGGTACAACGATTATTGAATCTTATAATCATTTTCGTACATATTATGACTATACAATAAATAATGTTTTATGCAATAAATGTTACCCAACATATATATATATATATATATATATATATATATATATATATATATATATATGTGTGTGTGTGTGTGTGTGTGTGTGTGTGTGTGTGTTTTTAGGTGTTGTAGAATACACACTCATTGCTTAATAAATCATTAAACACTCGGGAATTAATTGCTATTAATGAATTCCCTCCCACTTCTCGGTGACTTTTTTTCGTACGTAGTATAGAGAAAACATTGTAAAGCTGTAGGGAAAAGTATCAATTTTTGTCCTAAAAACGCGTTTTGTGGCCTCTGATACCGGAAAATTGAATTTGCATGCTTCATTTCCAAAGAAGTTTGACAACTCGAACTTGAATTCCTCAAATTTATCGTTATCTGGAATTTTAATTTATCTTCGTGTAGAAAATTACTTATGCACGCTGTTGTCAAAAATTCAAATTCCTTTACAGAAATATTCTATAATTCGAATATATTATGTTTTCTTTCAAGTCCTTTTCCATAATGTAGATGTCCAGATTCCACTGTAACACCTTTGCTCCTCCCCTCATCTCCCTTGATCCACCAAGATATTAGTCGAGTGTCAGCTGTCATAAAATGGTTGCTTTCACACTGTGGATCAAGAATTGCTAAGCCAAATTCATTTACTTGTATACAACGAAATATGTTATTCGAACATTTTATTTTGTACCGCACTCTCCTATTTTGGAGATTAACCCCTTGACAAATCCGTAATTTTATTGTTGTAGGTCCCGCGAATTTAACGCAATATATTACGAGTGGCAAGTGGTGAGTTTACTTCTCCCGCATACCGAATGAATGCGTACATCAGCATTATTGTCAGTATTGTCAGTGTTGCGTGCGTTATGTAAAGTACCCCGTCATTTAAATGCGTTGGGACCCACGGCACGAATTCGACATGGGGCAGGGGATTATTTTAGCAGGTTCCGACACACGTATGTACTGCTTGTTCGAAGTATCACTGCACGACGAAACGCTTCCGGAGGAGAGAAATACAGACTAACGAAAAGGTGAACGACATTACAATACGATTGAGTGTTGCAATGAGAGAAAAATAACAAAAATATAAACGGTAAAATCATGTTAACGCAAACGACAAACGCGTAAATTTTCACGGCTTCTCACGAAACTTTTTCTCAGATTGCAATCACCACTTGTCAAAGGGTCTCGTACTTTCGAATCGCTATATCTGAATAGCTCGGGAACCACAATCCACCGCGTAAAAGAAATTAGTGAAGCATGAAAAACACTCATTTCTCAGTATCACACTAATCATGGTTCGTTCTGTCCCGCCCACTGCGTGATTCACACGAAACACGCAACGCGATATTCGAAATGGCTGTTATCACCTTAATTCGCCACTGTCTGCACTGTATTACACGAAAGATTAATATATTGCTGTTAGGCGGCGTTAACGGAACAGATACATTTACAACTATCAATTATAAATCAGTAATTACTACATAATTTGCGTATCACTACCAAGAGGTGGTAACACCGTGTAGGAGACATCAACGTATAAAAATACGGAGTCTGGAGACCATTCACAGTAACGTGAAAGAAACGATTCAGGATCCTGTTATTTCTAGGACAACGAGGTTTTAAGCCGTTTGCCCGGGTAGGCAGAGGCCAAAGCACTCCAGCGCCTTACCCAGATGCCGTCGCAATTTACAACAGTTATGGAAGACAATCTCCAGGCGTGGGAGGTCGGCATTCGAAAGTTAAAAGCTGCGCTCAGTTTCAAAAGTGAGTCATGTAACAAAAGGCCGTGTCCCTCACCGCTCTTCATGATGCCGATATGCACCGAAAGAGCCTCACGTTCCCATTTCTTTACATAGCTCCGTTGTATCTCGCAGTTTATCCAGATGGCTTCGCTACGGTTATGTGACTTCGCACGGATTACGGCGGAGTGGAGTTTACTGTTAATGCCTACGTCTACATCAAATAGGATGTGCAAGTTCAGTTATTCGCGGTAATAAGAATAATTATCAACTACATAAAACAAAAAAAAAATATCTAGACTTGACAATCGCATACCAATGTCATCCACGTACCCTAAGATCACCAATGACAAACCGGCTTAGGTGGCTCAGAGCATCAATTTTGATGTCACTGCAGTGCCTCTGATCTGCAGGGAATAGCAGGGTTCCACTCCCGATGGTGGCAGGATTTTTCACACTAGCTATACTCCGATTTAAACGTAGTGGCATTTCAAGAGCACTACCTTAACGGGCCAGTCATTCAATCGGGAGCTCCATTACAACTTAAACGTTTGGTATTGGAGCTCCCGATTGGATGACAATGCCCCGTTCTCCTTCCAGGTCGTGACCTTGAAGTGCCACTACGTTTAAATCGGAGTGTAGATAGTCAGGTCGAATTTCGGCGCTATCTGGAGGAGAATTTTATGACACGTTTACGATGTTCTGCACATGTGTGAAAATGTCTTTGAAGTATGGCCAATTCTTTGAACATTATTCTATACTTGTTCTTTTCTGCGGCGATACGAATGGTTACCTCTTTTTTTAAGAACTACTTCAAAAATGCTAATGCTAAAATACTACTTTGTTGCTGCAAAAATGCATTTCTTTTCTTCATCAACAAGGACTAAAATAAGATAACGTCGGCCTCCCTGTTAAGAGAATGCAGGAGTTTCGCACGAAGCGATTTCGCACGGCGACGGTTTCGAATTGTTTTGAAAGTGTCCGATAAGCGTTGAAAGACGAAACTAACACTTAGGAAAGGTTTTGATAATAAAAGTCCTAAACGATGAAACAGTAAACGCTTACCTTAACAAAGATTGTGGGAAAAAGTTCCCTGGAAACCTTGGGTGACCCTCGCTCAATCGATATGATACTGTTGAGCGACACAACAAAAGGTGTAAAATGAAGTCTATTAAAGTGCATTTTGCTTCCCACTATATAATCAAGCATGTAAACTGTGTCAACAAAATACTGTAGGAACAATTAATTACAATTAAGAATTTGTAAAATTTACGTGAATTGGCCAATCTAACCTTAGCGGGAATTGATTACTATTTTTCCTCTATCAGGAAACCTTTTCCCCTTACTGGGTTGTAATTAGCTCAATAATATTGTAATTAATAGTAATAGTAATTAGATATCAAAAGAGAGGACGTAATAACAATGCGTATGCTCACCCCTGTGCATCAACCCTGCAAATCCAAACAAGGAAGTAATACCAACCTGAAACAAAACAAATGAACATTAAAACCATGAAACCGTGATCGCAATATTCATGCAAAGACATTTTATATGATTAATTCTTATTAAATTTAAGTAAAATAAGATTCAAATGGTAATTTAAACAATATGTCGTGAGAAATAATTCCAGTGGTCAGGCGAAACTTCTCATTGAAAAGATTAGAGTTATTGTTTATTGTACGTTCAAATGTAAAGAGCTGTGGTACTACACACATACGGTGTTATTTTATTGCAGTAATAATTAAGTCTGTTTTTATCAAAATATTTCATTTATTCTAGAGTTATACTATAGTATTTTGTTTGTAGTTCTTGAGTAGTGCAAGCGCTTCTTGTTGGAAAACCATTTGTGTGTGTGTGTTTTTTTTTCAGCTGCGTGTTGGCTGATGCTGGACACTAGTATCAAATTAATCCTGAATATATTTTGACTCGAGGGTGATAAAGAGATAGACGCATTCAACAGCGTTTCCTAGCTTTTTACTTCCGATTAGTCAACAAGGAAACTCCAGAAAATAAAAAAAATATTCGTTCATATTTTAAAAGAACAATGGGAGCAGTCTGGATATTAAAACAGGCGGGCGCACGCGTGAAAGTGAATTAGCGAGAGTGCAAGTGGTTCCTCCAGCTGGTTCGAAAACCGGAGAGGGAAATGCTCTCCCCTTAGTCTAGCCCGCTCCTGATCCCAAGGCTGCGACGAACTAAAAGGTCATTGGGACACTGGGAAATTGAACCGCGAACCCTCGAGGCATCCTATCCAATTAAAGCCAGCTGACACTGTTTTATGAACTCATTAGTCGTCGGGCGCCCGGCCTGGGGACTCTCTACATCAGTGGTGGCATTCAGATGAAATGTCAGACGGGGCCGGGGGCCGCGCAAAAAACCGGCGAACCCGGCCGCAGTCTCGCATTTGTCCCCGTCTGGCATGATGCGTGAGTGTAACTTCTGGGAACGCAGCAGCCAGCGCGTTCATCTGGGACGGAAATATACGGACCCCGCCGCCCGCTTTGCACGCGTTATCCCGTCGCAACAGAACGGATTCGATCTGATTAGTTCGTCTTGCACTGCATCATCGAAAACCTCAATCTTAAGAAGTACGTGTAGTAAAACTAATGCCAAGGCCATCTCTATGTGAAAGAGAACCCTTTATTTTTGTGAGGTTCAACATGCGCCTTGAATCTCCTGGATTACTAATAAAGTAAAAGCGCCCTATTACAAAATTGTGATTAAGGGAATTTTTCATTCACAAACAAGACATCGAACGCGAAATAATATTGATCCCAAAACACTGATATTATAAAAAATAGATTTTAATATACAGTAGAGTCACGATAATCCGAGGTAATTGGGGCTGATGTTTCATCGGATTACAAGAAACTCGAACTACACAAAAAGGAGGAAAATACATGACGCAATTTTCAACACCCATGTATAACGAAGTCAAATTTAATGATCAGATTCAATAATTAAAGAAAAAAAAACATGTATACATATACATACATACAGACATGAGTGCGAACCGGTCAAAATAAAGTAGCAGACAGATTGACACTGGCACCAACCGCCGCCTATTCGACTTTCGCCGCAGTGTTGCACACCCATCAAGAGCCGTCTCTTGATTACTGCCACTTGTTTGCTTGTTTGGGCGTCTCGGCGCACATCAGGCTTTTTTTTTCATATCGAATTGCGCGGAATATTAGATTAGTGACCGAGAGAGGTGGCTCAGGGCATCAACTGCTGCCACTGCAGTGACTATGGCCGGGAGGTCCTAGGTTCGATTCAACGATGGCAGAATTTTCGAGAGTGGTTAGACACCTAGGTCGACTTCTGTCGCTGACTGGAGGAGAATTCTAGCGGCCGGCTGCTCTGATCGGTAGTTTTACGTGATTTCTCTTATCAATACCAGGCGAAAGTTGGGGAAGTACCATAACAAACGCGCCACGGACCGCGCGCGATATTTCCTTCCCATTCCTTTTCCTATCCTACTCCGTACTTACACACACACACACACACACACACAGTCACATGCAGTACCACATATGCCAGAAGACCGGTCAGTAGCTTAGAGCTAGTTCTCGCTGGTGGGAGATACCTGGTTGGGGAAATCCCCGGTAGCCGACGGCGCTCAACCTCACCATCCAGCGGGCGAAATCACCGCCAACGCCCGTGATAAAACATGCACTAAACTTACGGGACTCATGACATTTGACGCGCCCGAAATCACCAATCAACCAAAACCAAACCACCCCCAACCAACCAAACTGGATTAGCAAATCTCGGGTTACTGCGACTCGACTGTTTCGACATTTAAACCGTCTACATGGAAGTCGCCTCCCTTGTCCCCGGCGCCTCTTGCGCGCCGGGGAATCCTGGCGTGAATCCGGCAAGAAACCGCCGGTTGCAGCGCGGGGCCGGGTCGGGCCGGGGCGAGCCGAGAGCAGCGCTGGAGCAATCGCGCGCGGAGCGAAACCGGCCGAGCGGGGCGCTGTTGCGCACTTCCCCGGCGCGACCCGACGAGAAGAAACTCTTTCTCCGACCGAGCGGGGCGGCGCCGCGCTCCACGCGGGCGTAGGCCGACTGCATCCCGCGGTCAAGGCCGGTTCGTAGGTTGTTAGCGATTCTCGGGGCGTCAACTACAGAGGCGGTTAGTACCGTAAGTGTAGTGCATGCAATTCCCTCGGGTGGTGGTGGTGGCGGTGATCCTCCGCTGAGTGGCGAGATCCGGCTCCAACCTACCGTCGACCAGCAAGGTTTCCCTTAGCCAGGTATCTCTCACCAGCGGGGCACCGCCCAACCGGGGTAAGCCCGAAGCTCCCTCACCAACGGTCTCACGGAAAGCGCGGTACTGTAGTACAGGTTTTGTGTACGTGTGTGTAAGGGGTGAGGATAGGGCAAGGAAGAGGAAGGAAAAATTGCGCGCGGTACGTGGCCCGATTGTTAGGGTACTGCTCCGGCATTCGCCTGGGGTTGATCGGAGAAACCGCGGAAAACTACCGATCAGAGCAGCCGGCCTCTACAATCCTCGTCTAGATATCGTCCCGCGGTCAACGTTTCCTAATCTGTCTACCTAACCACTCCCAAAAAAAACCGACTGCATCCCGAAGATAACTTTTTCTAAGCCGTTAACCTACTTACCCCAATGAGGCATATCTCGACTGCATGGGCGAATACCGACAGCATCTCGCGACCAACCTTCCGTAAGTCCTTCACTTGTCTCCCCAAAATGTAGATCGACTTCATGGGGGTGTACTGAAAGCATCCCGCGGGCAAATTTTCCTAAGCCATTTCCCTATCTTATGGAATATCATTTCTTATCGATATACCCTATCACAAATATTCAGAGAAAATTACTCTTACGCAATTCCAAGGGCTCACGTTAGCAAGCTGTACATTACGTATGTATTTTTTCAGCTAACCGTTTCAGTGAGTCTTGCTAATGGCGTTAATGGCAGAAAAGACCTACAAACGCGCCCAGCGACCTCTGGGGAGCGATGTGAAGGTCGAGCATTTACACTTGGTTCACGCTTCACGGCGTCTGAGTACTTTTAGCCAAGGCGAAGTCAGCCGTGAAGCTCTAGCTAACAGGTGAATTTTACATCAGACGCAATAAATATTACCCACGAGAAAATAAGCGAAGAAAAATTCGGGTTCCTACATTATTCACAAACGTGACAATCGCCAGTATCAAAGAACGAGTTTCTTAGAAGTTTTCCAACTAAGGGTGTAGGAATAAGCACAAAAGTTCATAGCCTGAGAAATGGACGATGTCTTTGAAAGAAACTTGTCATTTCAACGTAATGCTGACCAAACACATTTCTGATGGATCTTTAATCTTCTGGTGCGCTTTTTCCTCGTCGCTTTTCCGCTACCGTTGTTGGTGAGCAGGTTATGTATTTAGTACACAATCCCCTCGAGCACGCCGTTCAGTAAGTCAGACCTCTCAGCGTTCGATGAATTTAAAAATAGTCATGTGGTGAGTTTTGTTGCACCAACGTAGTGAGTAAAGTAAAAATGTAGTTTACTTTAGCGTTTATGAAGAAATAAATTATGGATCTTTTTAGATGTAATATTAATTACTAACATTTTGACAATATTTCCTAGCAAACCAGAAGTGTTCCAAAATCAGTTTTATTAAATTCATTAAATTATTTTCAATAAATTTTCTTGTATACAAGACTAGTTTCAAGCTCAGCTATCTCCACGTTTTTGTAGAATTTAGTAGTTGGTTCTAGGTATAGCTCGACTTTGGATCCTAACCATATATTCGTAATATGACGGGATTCTTAAAAATTCGCGAAAAATCTTTCCTTTTTTTGTAATAAAAACTGACGACAATATTTAAATCAGGAATCTTTAAAAATTGGTTATTTCACAGCTGTCGGTTTTCTACAGTACCAATTATTGAAACAAAATTGGTTATTTCTCAGCATGAAGTTGCACTGTAGTATAATACAATAATTTGTTGATACAAACATTGAATATCCCATGTAATTTCTTAAAGTGATAGTTGTATTCACAATTAATATTACAGGAACAAACGAAGTCGTCACACAGCAAACAAAACAACTCAAAATGCTAATTTTTCCCGCTAAGCAAAGGTAATATTCTGATACATCCAAAATCCACAGTATCTTCAATCCCAAAATTCCAAACGCCAATTACGCGATCCCAAAATATTTTATTGGAAATGTAAATGTATTCATGTGTTAATGCATTTGTGTATTCACACGTAGGAAGGTTGTATGCCTGGAAGAGTAGGACAGATAAGTGTAAGAGACTGTAAAGGGACTGGACAGGGCAAAGGTGAAGAAAGAAAAGTTGCGTATGGTCCGTGGCTCAGTTCTCTACGGTACTGCTCCGGCATTTTTTGGAATAGATCGGAGGTCACAGAAAACTACATATAAAACTGCCAGTCAGCCGCTATGATTCTCTTTCAGAAAGTGGCAGAATTCCACTTATCTAACATAAACTTGGCATTTTGGGTCGATTATCCGACTTTGCCGCCTAGGTAACAGTGTTCCCATTCCTGGACATCGTTTAATTCTAATGCTTGGGGAAGGGGGGGGGGAGAAAAACGTGTGTCGGACATTCCGTATTTCCCTTCACTGTAACTAGCAAACTCCACCCGCCTGAGCCTATTCTTCGTCACACTACAGAAACTGCGATGATTTTAAAGGAAAGCTTCAACTCTGTGTTTGCCACGACCGGAAACCGAACACAGGATCACATCAAGGGAAGCTAGTACGCTGCATGTGAACCATCCTGAAGGCTTCTCGGTCATCTTGCTAGTGTCAAATTCCGAGTGTCATAAGGAACCCAAAGAACTAGTTAACGACGCTGTACAAGCAACAACGTTGCCGCTGAGATATCGCAATCGATGCGCGGGTTGGCTAGTGACGACTGCAGTCATATAAAGTTTCGCTCGTGATACAGAAAAAAAGTTCGTCCTCGTTGTCGCACCGGAGTTGAGCGTGCGTTGCTATGGGGAGGCCTTGTCGCCGCTCGAAGTTTCCCAACAGTGCTAAAAAGCGGAGTGCAAGCACGGGCAGAAATAAAGGAGAGCGCGCTCTGTCGTTTTCGCCGAGCCCTGAAATTCTCGCGCAATACCTAATCGACCTGAAGAAAAGGAGATTTTCAGAGAATCTGCCAGACGATTCGTGGAAGCACTCACGAAATACACTGTGGTACCTGCAAGCTATTGATGAGAGAAAAGGCACAACGAAGGGAAAAGAACAGAAAAAAAGTATACAAAAAGGTTTAAAATTCAATCTGGTTGATCGTTATTGTTATAAATAAATTGCACTAAAAGAATATGTTGTTTCGATTATTTCACATTTATTGCGCCTTTTTTTAGATAGGTAAAAATAGGTTGTGATAGGTGGCTCCCCAAAAATATGGATTGGAGCCCAATAGAGAGACGGAAATCAATTTAGATAAATGCACTAATATCTAATTGGTCTGGAAATACGAAATAATTGGTTATTCAGTAAGTGCGAAATAATGTTAGGTGCAAACTGTTTTCATGTGGTTTCCAGAAGCGTCATGTTTTTTTGTTCTTTTTTTTACAACTGTGGGGTTTAAATCTTTAAACATAACGAATAGGTAAGTTTCGCTAGGGTGATCTAGTAAAGTTGAGATAATTTTTTGAACTGATGAAATGCACATTTGTTCAGGTAGTGTGTGTCTAGTTTTTGCCAACTGTCGAAAGGATTTTGCATATCTTTGAATAGACGCCAATCGCTGCCTAGTCACCAGTCGTTCCCGGTGTGAGGTTCTTCTCAGAGGCCAGGTAGGTGGGTGGAGAGGGGGGCTACCGCGGTGCCGAGTGCATGCGCAGTATCAGCCCCACGCCACACACCCGCCGCGCTCGCTGCGCACTTTGTGCCGGGCCCCGTCAATGCACGGCTTTGTGCGCTGGTATCAGCGCGGATAATATACGTCGTCTATTTGCACTGATCTCGAGCAGCGCGGGGGAAGGAGGCCGGAAAACACAAAAAGCGCCGCGAGGCGACACAGCTGACGTATAACGTTAATAATACGCTCGAATGCGCATCCATAACGACATGACGCCGACCGACCGACCGACCGACCGACCGACCGACCGACCGACCGACCGACCGACCGACCGACCGACCGCCTGTGGGTAGATGTGTGAGTGCGATAGCACCGCGAGTAGGCGGAGCGCTAGCCGAGGGGAGATTGTCTAAATGGAGCAGGCGCTTTGCAGAGGGACGGGGAGGGAGGAAGAAAGAGTACGGAAAACAGAGGCAAATAATGAGCGACGTGGGACGAAAACTTGAGGAGAATCAAATGAAAAGAAAGACACATAGGAAAAGAATGTAACGGAAAACAAAGAACGAGGGGAGGGAGAAAAATAATGTATTTATTTTACATTCACTCCATCATTGTTTTCTTTTCCTTATTTTTTTTCCTTAATTTTTTTCCTTATTTTTTCTTTTTCTTATTTTTTCTTTCCTTATTATTTTCTTTTCCTTATTATTTTCTTTTCCTTATTATTTTCTTTTCCTTATTTTCTTTTCCTTATTATTTTCTTTTCCTTATTATTTTCTTTTCCTTATTATTTATTTTACTTATTATTTATTTTACTTATTAGTTATTTCCCTTGCGCTTCTTCTACTTTGGCGACTTGAGCTTCCGGATGGCAACTTCTTACTCGCAGCATAGTGAAAAGATAAATAACTTTCCTCCATGCTCGCAGTATTGCAGAGTCGATGAAATACGAAATGAACCATATGGAAGAGAGAATCAGACCTCGGCGAGGCCGTAGGAATAGGAGGGAAGCGGAAGGCTATGTTTTGCTCCATCATCCGCCTGAAATTGATCGCGAGAAAAAGTGATCTGAGCAGACCGTCCGTAGAATTCTCATTCAATCTCTGTTGGTCAGACTCAACTTCTATACATTAGAGTGGCCCTTATCGTAAGGATGGACATTTTTTAAAACGTTTAGAAGCGAATACAATTTTTGTCTCCCCCTTTTACAACAGTTAAGAAGAATACCATATATTTCTCTATTATATAAAGGTTAACCCGTGTCTCGTCGAGCTTGAATGATAGATTTAAGGTAAAAACTATTTAACGTTAATTTTGCTACAATTATTAAAAAGTATTAAATAAATGAAAAAGTTAACTTTTAATAAAATATTTGCCAAAAAATATTCGTTTAAGTGTAGCCTTCTTGCTGTACTGTTTTCTGTGGTCTTCTTCACACTGGAGTATAAAATGTTTCTGCTCTTCATCCAGAGTTTAGAGAGTCCATCAAAATCTTACATTAAATCTCACTCCTCTTTCTGTTGTATCATTAACAGCAGTGAGATTTCGTAATGTTTTGTTGTGATTTTCAATAACCATTCATATCACAGACATTTAGACTATAATTTCGTAAGCTAATGCCGACACCTAATTTCGTTAGCAAATTTAACTTTATTAGAAATAAAATCTTATATTGTTTTTCCTGAAAGTAAAAACCATCAGGAACTAATTACTTGAATATCACAAGTAAACTGTGAACGACTTAAATCCCATATATTCATTAGAAAACTTAAATTTTTTATACACAATAAAAATTGACTGTCATACAAAAGCAAAGAAATTATCTAATAAAATTTATAGTATTAAAATTAAAATTTCCCTAAGAGAAGAGGACCTATACGAGTGTGAATGACACATTTGTTTCAGTGAATAGAGACTCCGATTTCAAATTCTTTACGATGTCCATTTTTGATGGCAAACAGTTGCATCGTGTCTCATGCCAAAAGGGAGAATTTTTTTTTTCAAAGTGCAATCCATCTCAAAGTAATACGGAGAGGCAGTGTTTTACAATGGGAATAAGGTGGTTTGCAGAATGGAACACGGTTGGGCGCACACATAACTCGACAAAATGACAACAGAAAATCCATTATAACTCAACAAAATTACTGAATAACTTTATGCGTAGTTTTATACAGATTTAAAGAAAATGTTTGGTTCCGTATCTCCCCTCTTCAGAATACGACACAATGTGAGCTCCGGCAGATGTGGCCCAGTTGGTAGGGGGCTTGCGCTGTGTATGCAGAGGGTGATGGGGTGTGATTACGTGGGCGGAAGCAAATATTACCCTCGAGCTGGGTCTAATTTTTTTTCCACTGGCAATTTCATTGCGGCTTAAAAAATTGAAGTGAGTCTCGAATTACGAATATGTAAAATAAGAATCTATATTACTGGTTGATAATAAATCATCAATTTAATTTAAAATCAGGATCTTCATAAGTACTAAAATTTGTCTGTTATAAATATATAAGACCATCCTTTGTGCACAGCGTACGAATTAGTAAGCCCCAAACGTATGTTCCTATCACGAGATACAAACGCCACCATAAATGTCTCGGATATATTACGTATGTGATTTGTGGGAAAGTGATTTTGGAACGTTAACTTCTCTGTATCTTAGCAAGCCCCTTCACACACACACACACACACACACACACACACACACACACACACACACACACACACATACAATCAGTCACGTGAACCTATAGTAGCATTTATTTAGTCGTGCACTTGACGTAAATCAGCTGTTGCGGTTTCATCCAGTCGGGAGCTTATACGTCACTACAGTGACATCACTATGGGGAAGTTCAAACTCCCGATTGGACGAAACCGTGAACATCTGATTTATGTCAGAGGCACGGTTAAATAAATCCTAGTATATACGGTGCTACGTCGCACAGTTCAAGCAGCTTTAGTCTAGAAGTAGAGCGACGACGATAAAAAAAAAAAAAAGAAAACGCGGGCGCGATGTGGTTCTAGGGTGCGCGGCAAGGGCAGAGGTGGAGGTGGAGGTCGCGGCGAGTTCCTATTGCGTAACGTAGCAGGGCACGGCCAAGGTCGCCAACCCCCGCCCCTTCCCCTTCTTCCCCCCTCTCCACCCCGTCGAGCAGATTTACGACCTGCAGCGGAAAGACTTCCGCTCCGCTTTGCAACATTACTCTGCTGCACTTTCTTCTATCGAGATTTTTTTTTTCCTTTTACTTTCTCCAACAACGCGAGCAATACGGGGAAAGTGATACAGAAAAAGAATGAGAGCGGGTACGGGAAAATACGTTTGCAGCAGAAATACCCCGGTGTATAAAATCTCAAACCAAATACGCCGCGCCCACCTGTTCTTTCCGGTAACACGAAAATAAAATTCCGCATGATATCACCCACGTTTCGCGGATCCAATAGGAGTCCTACCAGCGAAGCAACACTTACTCAGGTGAGGCGTCTTCGCATTTTTTCCTGCTCCCTTTCTACAGTCTTATTTTCTTTTTCTTTTTTGTCTTCAGAAAACATGCGCAACACATATCTGAACCTAATTAGTTAATATTTCACGTTCCAGCGGTTTGTGGTCCAGTGTCCATAAACAGCGTTCTGAAAAACCAATGCACTACAACTTACAATGACTCTAGACACCCAGTAATTTTCATCCACGACGATCAGCGTTTTTTCATACCGCTCCAGCACAAGAGGAAATCACGGGAGATTCGGATTGCGCAACGCATCTAATGGCCCGGCGTCGTTACCTGTTGGACACATCTCGTATATTGCTGCGGAGACGTCAGCAAGGTCAAGTGGTTCTGCGAGCCGGTTTGTGGGCGCCATGAGACGGCTTATTTTTAACTCGACTGAAATTACGATGCGCCTGCAAGGGCTGAATCCATTGTCTATTCCGATGTCGACTCTAGCGGAGCGCGCAGGAGCGTGCAGGAGCGTGCAGGAGCGTGCAGGAGCGTGCAGGAGCGTGAAGGAGTGTGTAGGAGCGTGCGGAACCGTCCACCGTAACGTCCTGTGTGTAAATTATGAGGCAAATTGACTATAACTATCTGACACAAACTTCTCTCTAAGACGGGGTACAAACTGGATGCCAGAATAAACAAAGTCAATCACTGAAAACAATTTTCTGTGTATTGGGAAGAACTAAACTCAAAATTGTTGAAGTGGCAATCCTTCTCTACAATATTTAACAAAATTGCATTAAAAATTTTAATTTTTTGTGTAAAACGTGATTTACACGAGAGTGGAAAACACATTATAGCTCTCTCCCATTATTATGTAATATTCTTCATAGTGTTTCTTCGCTCAGCAGGTTTCTGTACAAACTGAATGCCAGAACACACACAGTCAATCACTAAAAACTACTTTTTGTAGGGAGATGAACTAAACTCAAAATTGCTGATATGGCAATCTTTAACTAAAACATTTCCCAAAATTGACATAAAAATCATATTTTTTTTGTGTACAAAGCGGTTTACACATGTTTGAAAAACACATTACAGCTCTCTCCCATTATTATATAATGTTAAGATCTTTACTCAGCAAGTTCCTGGGCTCTAAGCACACGGTAGATTGAAGTAAAACTAGGCAATTCTCTTATGGAAATGTTGGAAATACGAAAGTAACTACAATCAAAATTTGTTTGACAAAGTGAAAATGTGGCTTTGGGGGGAATCGTGTCTCTCAGCCTTTTTTGTTGAAGAAAGGTTAAGATATTTTTCGAACTTCTGTTCGGTAATCACTTAAGTCAACGACTAAGTCAATGTACTTTCCAGTTTGCGAAGTTATACAACTTGAGAACTAATACCGAAAGAGAATAATATTTGTCCACGAACTCGCAATGCACATAGGAGTAGCTAAAACGTTATTCACGCATACCACAGGTCAACAGTCGGCGCACACACTGTAAATGAAAAGAATCAAACAAAGATCCCAACGATCCTCTGAGAATACACACATCCATACACACGTGGGTAAATGCCAAAGAAAAGGTGAAAGGTATTCAACCTGATGAGTTTAGCAACTATAGCTTAAGATAAAACTAAATCAAATGCATTCCTAAATTTACTATGAGACCATAAATATGGTATTTACATATCGACAATAAAACTTACTTCAGCACATTTTAAAGAACAGTTATTGGATTTCTGGCAAATTGAGAACAGTTATTGGATTTCTGGCAAATTGTAATATATCCTTTAAGCCCCGATTAATTACTATTTGAGACATATCTTTAGTTTCCTAAAAGTGTTCATTAAATGTCTTCATTAACAATAACTAGAATTAATCAAGATATGGTTATTTGGAAGTAAATAGAATGTAAGATAATTTCCATATTTGTGTGGTAAGCAGTACATTTCTGCACTCTTACCCTTTTCCATGATCATAAGCCTCACAGCAGGATCTTGCAATGAAATGATCCCATTAGACATCAAGTGCCGTTTCTCCTCAATTTTCACATGACTGCTTGCAAATATCCCCAACATTTTCAGCGTGCCGCAAGGCCTCAGATCACCCGGAGATATTCTAGATCACCCTCAAGCTTCTTTGTGATTTTTTTCCCGGCGGCATTTCAACTCGAACGCCCTTGAATTTTCCTTGTTCCTTCATCCGGCGCGATATCTACTGCGCTTTAGTCCCTCGCGGCAACTCGAAGTCCGGTGCACTGCGACTCAGGCAACGCAGTTACTCGAGCGAATTTGAAACCACGTCGTCGTCTTTTCAGTGAAGTCCATGGCGAACGACTCTGCGAATTCCTTCTCTTCCCTCAAAGCTCGAAGACAAGCATGTCCTCAAATATTTACCCGAGATGAAGCGACCATTTCGAAATGTAATAATAAAACTATCGTCATATTCTCGAATGTCGCGCAACACATTATTTTTAGTTGTCCTCTTTGTAGTATTCTATGAATTTTCTACGTGTATTCACATTTTTAAATGAACATTGTAATTGAATTAACTTTTCCTCAGTCGGGATAGTAAATCACATTATCTCATTCTGAAAACCGTTAATGTGATCCTGTATTTTGATACCGACAAACCAACTTGCACATCCTCGCCTGTCCTCGTATTACATTACTATCTTGATTCACTTCTCCAAGAAATTCCCTCACTTGAGCAACGAAACGCTACCTAAGTAATCTAAATCATTAGATCGTGGTGTGCGAAGCTTTGAGTAATATCCAATGTATCCAATTGGAAACGCAAGAGTAATCAAGCTAAACAGAGGTCAATGTTAGATGAACGATACACGCAAACAACTGTAGAATGAGGCCGCAATACATACATTGCAGTGCAAAAAAGGTTTTAAAAAAACTAAAATAATAAAAAACCGCAGGTCGGAAGCGTCCTCGTGTAACCAACTCGCCGCCATCGCGGCCATCCGCTCAGATGCTATGCTTCCACGAAGAGCACGCTCGAAGCGGAGGTACAAATGTATAGAATGTCTCGAAATAAATAGTACCAAATTTAAGAGGATGAAATAAAGGGTTCGAAATTATTTTTCTTACGAATGAACACATCGCTCATGGGCTGCAATAGTGTCATAACTAAAA